TCCGCCTCCTGGGTTCAAGTGATTCTCCGGAGTACCTGAAATTACAGGTGCCCACCACTACACCCTGCTAATTTTTTTGTATTTTTGGTAGGGATGGGTTTTCACCATGTTGGCCAGGCTGGGGTCAAATTCCTGACCTGATTCGCCTGTCCCCCAAAGTGCTGGGATTACTAGGCATGAGCCACCATGCCCGCCGAGCTCTCTTTTTTATGTTTAAAACATTTGCAAGGTTCAAAAATCGAAACATTACTATCGAAGAAGACATATTTCCATTTTCTTTTTCTGGCTCTATCTACCACCTTTAGGTAACAATTTATATTAAGGGTTTCTTTCTTTGTAGTTGACAAGTAAAACTTCCATGTATTTATAGTGTTCAATATAATGTTTTGATATAGGTATGCATTGTGGAATGACTATACCAAGCTATTTAACATACACATAATCTCACATACATTTTTATGGTGAAAACACTTAAAATATACTGTTTTAGTATTTTTCAGCTATACAATATATTGTTATTAACTCATTGCCATTACATACAATAGATCTCTTAAACTTATATCTCCTGTCTACTTCCTGTTCCTTGACCAACATATCCACAATATGCCACCTGCCCAGGCTCTGGTAAGCACCATTTTACCTTCTTTTCCTATGAGTTCAACTATTTTATACTACACATACAAGTGAGATCATGTAGTATTTGTCTATTTATTCCTGCCTTATTTTCTTGACATAAAGTCATCCAGGTTCATCCATGTTGCACTGAATGACAGGATTTCTCTTTTTTTTTTTTAAGGAATAGTATCACATTTAATTTATATACTACATTTTCCTTATCCATTCTTCCAATGATAGACACTTAGATTGATTGATTCCATATCTTGGGTGTTGTGAATAGTACTGCAATGAACATGGGAGTGCAGATATCTCATTGACATACTGATGTCATTTTGTTTGGATACATATCCAGTAGTGGGATTGCTGGTTCATAGATAGTTCTAGTTTTAATGTTTTAAGGAGCCTCCATACTGTTTTCCATAATGGCTGACCTAATTTACGCTTCCTCCATCCCACAGTGTGTAGGTGTCCTCTATCCACATTTTTGCAAGTTATCTCTTGTCTTTTTGATAATGATCGTTTAACGGGTTTGAGGTAATATTTAATTTTGACTTTAATTTGCATTTCTCTAATGATAGGTGATTTTGAGCATTTTTTCTGTATTCCTGCTTTCCATTTGTATTTTTCTTTTGAGAATGACAATTCAGATCCTTCACCTATTTTTAAAATCTATTTATCCATTTCCTTACTCTTGATTTGTTTGCGTTCTTTATTTTTAGATGCTAACCTCTATCATATGCATGATTGGCAAATATATTCTCCAACTTTGTCTTATTAGTTTTTTGTTTGTAATTCCAGTATTTATTTTTTCCTTCACAATTTTTTAATGTGTATTTCCTATAAACAAGGACATCCTTCTGTAGAAACTCAATATAACCTTCAAAATCAGGATATTAACATTGACACATTTCTCCAATTTAATCCTCAGATGATGTTCAAGTGTTACGAAATATACCAATCTTGGTTTTTGTAGCAAAAACACCTGGGTCATAATCACACATTATGTTTGTAAAATTTCTTTATTATACTTTGATCTGGAATAGTACTTTAGTCTTTTCATGAGTTCTATGTCTTTGCTACTTTGAGAATTAGAGTTACTTAGTAGAACGCCCTTCAGGTTGGGCTTGTTCAATGTTTATTCATGATTAGATTCAGATTATGCATTTTAAAGCTGGGTCCTATATTCTTTTTACAACACATTCAATCATCCTTTGAGAATTTTGTTGCTTTCTAGCATAACCAATTGTTTCAGGATTACCTTGGACATTTCCTGCTTCAGTCTTGCCATTTTGTATGTGAGTGTGTGTACTCACGTTTATATTTATTTCTAGATCTACGTATGAAAAATATTTAGTTCTATTTATTACCTCCAATTTCAATCAAACACAAAAGGAATCATTGTAGGGTTCTCCTTTAGAGAACTGTAACTCCCGTCCTCAACTGACGATTATCCTTAGTGTTTGTTTTCACATACTTGATTAAGCCTTTGTATATAATCTATCTCTCTCATCACTCCTGCACCCCCTACCACCCCTTCATCAATGTGTATAACCTCCTCATTTCTCTCAGAGCCCCAAACTGCAAATCAGTTGCCACCATCGCAGCCTGCAAGAATTACGTTCCATGCTCGTAATGCCTCACATTCAGTTTCTGACACTTCCAGATAACTTGTCTACCCATGTGAGTCCAAACTTCACCCCGGCCAGCTCCATCACATTATACCAGGTCACGACAAGTTCCCTTCCCTCAGCCCAGGGTTAGCACTATGTGGGCACTCTCTTCCCACCAGTTGGGCTCAAAAACTCCATGTCATGTTACCACCATGTGTATCTACACTCCTTGACACACTGCCTCTCATTTCTTCCTCCAGGCTACACCTTTCTGGGGATGTATTCATCACCTTGTTTGGGATCTGATTCTCCATGCTGGGTTGGCATTGCATAGATGTCCTCCTCGCTTTCTTTAGGATCCAATACCTAGTGTCAGGACTACCTTCATCCTGTGTGAATGCACTTATACCATTCCTACCATTCTTGGACTAACTCCCCAAACCAAGGTGTTCTCCCATGAATTCACCAACTCACTCTGTTTGGGCTTTGAGAACCCTACTCAGGGATTTCCTTTTTTGGCAAATTCTCTTTGATCTGCTTAGCCTTTGACACCTCACACTGAGTCACCCCTCTGCATGGATTTTTGTTCACACATTAGGATTCTCTAAAATTGGTGATTTAGCTGATTCCAACAAATTTTAAAGTGTAGATATTCATTTTTATTATCAAATGTTATCTAATATTCATTGAGATTTCTTCTCTGACCCATATATATTGAGAACTGTGTTTTGCTTGCTTCGTTTCCAAACATTTTGGTGATTTTCTGGTTATTTCTGTCATTGAGTTATAGTTTAAGTCACTATAGTCAGAGAAATACCATATAGTCAGAGAAATGCATTTAGACTTTAATCCTTTGAAATTGATTTCATCTGCTTTAGGGTCTAGGCTATGTTTCATTCTGGAAATCTATGTACACTTAAAATGTGTATTTTGCCATTGTTGCATATTATTTCTCATGTTTGTATGTATATATATATATGTGTGTGCATATATATATACATATAAATGTATTTTTCAGTTGTTGAATTGATTGTACAGTTTAAATATTTCAAACCCTGTTGCATTTGGTTTTGTTTTGTCTTTCAGTCATTAAGAGCATGTTAACATCTCCACATAAAATTGTGGATTTACCATCTTAGTTATGTTAATGTTTCTTGATAAGTTTTCCCATGTATTAAACATGAATACATGTTTAGTTATGCATGTTTCTTAAATTTACCACTTTATTATTATAGAATATCTCAAACTCTATCACACCTTGCCTCACATTCTACTTTGTCTGACATTAGTATAGATCAATTTTATTATATTTTAGTGTTTCCAAGGAATATCTTTTTTCCTCATTATGTTCACTTCAACCCTTCTGTGTCTTTATATTTAATGTTTCTACAGAAATTGCTAAGATTTGACCAGTGCTTTTTATCCTTGCTAGACCCTAAACATGTCTTCTAAGTTGTAAATATGTTGAAAGCTCAGCAGAACCTTTCTTTCAGCTTTTTTGTTTTGTTTTGTTTCTCTTGAATCTACAATTTCCTCAAGGGAAAATATTGTCACAATAAACAGGCTTACTTCTCTGCTTTTCTCTCCTCTCCTACCTATTTTTTCTATAAGAACTCTTTCTAATTTTCTGATGCTTTCAATCATTTTTAAAAAACATGTTACCCAGTTTTTGTAGTGGTTCTCAGGGTTACAATAGCCTGAAAAACTAGGCTATTATTGCTGGAAGTGTGCTTTCCTATTGCTAATTATAAAGGGAATAAGTCTAATATGTTTCCATTAAGAACATTGTTTTCTGTATAATTTTCATTAATTTCTCCTCTTAAAATGATTTTTCCTTCCTTTTACTTTCATTTTGTTCATATTGCTGTTCTCTTTTTTAGATGCTTGTTTTCCTGTCTTTTTAAAATGGCCTATTTAAATGCTATACATTTCTTCTAAAACCACCACAAGATTTATTTAGTGTATCCCACAAAATTTGAGCTGTGCAGTATTTTTGGTACAATGTAATCAAAAGGTAGTTATCTTCTAAACTTCACTTTATTACTTTTTTGCTATTTCAAGATTTTTTATATAATTTTCCTAGTCATCTTTTTGTTCTTTTTAATTTCATTTTATTGTGGACAGAGAAAATTATCTGGTTTATTTTGGTTATTTGAAATTTTTTGTTTTGTTTTTTTTTTGTTTTGTTTTTGAGGCTTTTTGTTAGTGTTTCGAATGTACTTGTAAAGAAATTCCTATTCCTCAGTTATTGAGCACAATATTTCGCAAAAGCTTTATTGTGTTCAAATGTCCAATAGCCTTACTAAGTGAAGCTGTAACTGCACTGCTCAGAAGCCTATTCTTTCTCTGGTGTTAGGTTATATTTGCACAAGTGGCATACAGAAGTGAAGGAGCAGAAAGACTACTTTCTGGTCTTTGAAGACAGATGTGATAAAGGATATGCAAATTTGAGTCTAGTGGGCTCTATGCTGTCCTCACTGTTTTTCACTCCATGTCAAACTATTCCTGACTAGCTGTGGACTCCAAGTTCATGTATGATTCTTGGCTGCAGATTCACAGAAACAAGTAGCTAGACAAATGTATCATTTCCCCATAGACTTCATTAACTTTCCTTCCCAGTCTCACATAAGCACATCATATGGATAGCTCTCCAAGCTTCAACTTCTCTACCTATGGTAGTGTTTCAGGAGAGCTGAATGGTTCTTCTCTGACCATCTGTATTAGTCCATTTTATACTGCTATGAAGAAATACCCAACACTGGGTAATTTATTAAAAAAAAAAAAGTTTAATGGGCTCACAGTTCCACATGGCTGGGGAGGCCTCACAATCATGGTGGAAGGTGAAGGAGGAGCAAAGGCACATCTTACATGGCAGCAGGCAAAAGAGTGTGTGTAAGGAAACTGCCCTTTATAAAACCATTAGATCACCTGAGACCTATTCATTGCCACAAGAGCAGCATGGGAAAAACCTAGCCCCATGATTCAATTACCTCCCACTGGGTCCCTCCTGGGACACATGGGGATTATGGGAGCTACAATTCAAGATGAGATTTGGGTGGGGACAGAGCCAAATCATATTACTCTCCAAATCTTTCTTTCAGACCATTACTTTCCAGTTTCTTTCACAATTTCAAAAGGCCTATATTCTATAAACAATCCTTTATTCCATAATATTCCTAACAGCTTGGCTTTCTTGATTAAATCTTGTCTGTTAAACTATTGGTTCTATTACTTACAATGTGATGTATTCACCATAATTTCTGACCAGCCCACACTTTTTTTTTCTTGAATATATATTGGTAGAAACAAATACATTTAATTTACTACTTTCTTTTTTTTTAACAAGTAGAAACTAAAGGGCTAGAGCTCTTAGGCTAGCAGATTTCAACTACTTCCACATACAATAGAATTGGAACAGTTCTACAAATTTGGAAACACTGACTACATGCCTTGAGATACTTCTTTAATTGGATGGAGCAATAAATTAATGTTTGAAAATCATTATAGAAATACTTTGGGCTAGGGAATTTGCCATCTTATAAAATTCTCATCAGTGTTATTGCTCCCCCACCTACATTCCCAAAAGCATGCTTGGAGGTTTTTAAAAGCATCTTTCCCAAAGACTCTGTTTCTAGCGATCTAGATAAGACCTAGGTATATGCATTTCTAACAAGCAGCTCAGATAATTCTGATGAACAGAGTTGTAGACTTTTTTTTGAAAATAAAGGAACTAGAAAAAAAAATGTGGGCACTATTTGTGTTATTGGTGGCAGACATTCAAGTTACCCTGAATTACCAGAGGTGAATTCATATGGGTCTACAGCAACTTCAGTCCTTGCCTCCTCAGAAAAATAATTCAATTGAGGGGCATAAAGCAGAAAAAGAGACCAACGCCCTTCAGAGCAGTAGTGGTATTTTATTATAAAAGGCTTTAGAACAGAAAAAAAAAAAAAGAAAAAGAAAAGAAAGAAAAATTCACTGGGAGGAGACCTAAGCGGGCACCTGAAAGTCCAAAGAGAAAAAGAGGAATTTAACCACGATGCTGGGACTGTTTGCCTCTTTCCCATAACCTGTCCCTTAGGGTGGGCTTTCTGCATCCACAGTGCTCTCCTTATCCTTTGGAATTAAGCATGTGCAGTGTATTTAAGGAGTTATACACACGCCCATCTGAGGCTTTCTTTCTTTTCAGGTGTAGTGTGCTCAAAGTATACTTCACCATTTTTTTGTCTTTTAACATGCATGTCCAGGAAGTTGCTTCTCCTTGGGGCCTGCATTCAGGTAACACTTTTAATGTTAACAGGTGTGGACCATCAGGAGATTGCCTCTCCCTGGCTGCAGAATTATCATTTTTAGAGAGGCAGTGTGATAATCGTGGAACTGTTATGTGACATTCCTAATGAGTGTGTGGGGAGCCCTCTCCTGCTCCTCTCATTGCCCATCTAACTACCTGTAACATTTACATTTCAACATGCCATTTTTCTTTCTGGGGACCTTTCTGTTCAGCCTTATCTTCCAAAGTAGAAAAAAATAAAGAGACAAAACAATAAAAACTACCACATTCTCAAATTTTTCTGAATTATTCAGCTTCTTACTTAAAGGAATTTGCATCTTTAATATGTAAACATCTGAATGTGCAAAAATATGTAATTTCATGAGCTAAACATGTTATATGTATATACATTTTAATGTTTCTACATAAAAAATATGACTTAAAAATGAGTACTCAAACTAAAAAAAAATCAACATTTTACTGGAAGAATAAATTAAGTTTATGTCAAAATGCAGTTTAAGTATTACTTTGTTCACTGTGTGAATTTGATTCTCTTGAGATTTATGATTACTTAAGACAGCTTTTCCTGCATACCTGCATAACCTTCCTTCCTGGGGAAAAAACTTGGAAGAAAAAAACGTAAAACGGGAGCACTTATTTTCTGGGTTAACACCAGGGCACATAATCTCACACATAGGAGAGATATACATAGTCAAACCTTTGAGGGGGATGGAGAAACCTTTGAGGTATCTCCCACCACTTAAACCACACTATTTTTTTAACATTCTCATTATTTTTTACATAATGCTAAAATAAATAGAATACTGGAATTATTATACATAAAGTAGAAGAGTCAAAATTTGTCTAGAAAAAGAATATTGATTCATTGTGGCTGACTTGTAAGCCTGGACAATTGTACTTTTTGCAATACTATTTTTCTTCATAAAATTCTTTAGTTACATAACAACTATTAACACTTTAAAAGACATATGAGAGAGCTTCTTTCAAAACAATAGATCCCCTTTTTGAATGATTGATGCAGGTTTCTAACCTTCAGCTGGACTCAATCAACAGAGATCCACAGCTACTATCAGTAGCTACACTACAAAATCACTTTGAAATATAAGTTTTATTTTGATACATAATAGTTGTCACATTGAAATTTCTTTAGCTTTTCTCTCACTTTCATTTTTTTTGGTGCCTTTGTTAAGAGCTGTAACTCTTAGCAACCACAGCTGGACCAAGTTCCCTCGGAACAGCTATTTCTTCCAAAGAAACACACACAGGATTCATAAGGAAATAACTCTTTTCTCCCTCCTCCTCTTTCTCATCTCCCATCACCTTCCTCTGTCCTCATCTTTCTCCTCTTCTTTGATAACCTGCATAATGACTTGGTTAAAAGAAGAACATCAAAGCCAAGAACGTGTCAAAAGACACAGCAAAAATAAGACAGCATTTCATTTAAGTAAAACACTCCCTTCTTAATGGATTCCTCTAAAGTAAATGTTTTGAAGTAGATTTTGCTTCCTGTGTGCAAAGAAAAATTGATGAAGGTAAGGATGAAAGCGAGCATTTGAAAAGTGTTAAGTATTTTTTTTTGGCTTCAGCACTTAAAATTTTATTTCACATAAAATCTCAAATGTTCCCTGGAACATTCTGAAAACAAAACGAAACTATGGGTTTGATCAGCGGATAAAATCATCTACCATGCTGGCAATTATCAACTCACATATGGTGGTAGGGTGCTTTTAATGCAGCCCTCCCACCAAAACCTATAGGTTTAATTAGATAAGGCAAATCTATCTGAATTGGTTTGGCTCCTGATTTCAGTTAGCACACTTTCATAAAAGTGAGGAATACCTGTATTTTATTTTTAAATCTGCAACACAAAGAGAAATGTCTTGGTAAGAAATTAAAAGGTGAATACAAAATATCAGTCAATAACATTTTAAAAGGAAAATATCCATCAATCATGGGAATTATTTTCTTATCTTAAAAGCAATTTCTTCCCTTGCTGTTTTCTGCATACACTTCCAGAAACCCAATACTTTAGTTGATATATTTTAAAATTGCAGTGTACAGATAACTTTGTGAATTAAATTTGTCCTTATTTATCATACAGTCTAGTAGCTCTATGAATACTTTTAAGCCTTAAAAAATTAAAGCTTATATAAAAGAAACCAATTTCCATGCTCTTTCTTATTATCAGCACCCAGGAAGGAAGCAATATGAGCTGTGTGCAATGTATACTGTAGCAATGCAGAATTTAATCTGGCAAGCTGAAGATCCTGCATCTGTGGCACACATCATGGTAACCCTGACTGGCTTTTTCAAGAAAGAAATATCTCCTCTACATATGAAATCATCTTTCAATAATGAGATCATTTCAAATTACTCAAGAATGTTTATAAAGTCTACCCAGTGGATAACAAATCAGTACTGGGGATTGGTCCCAGCCCAAACTGGGGTGACTGTCTCATAGTTTAGCAAATCCATAATCCTCAGTTCTAAATGCTTACTACTGATCAGCAGTTAATACCATCTGCCATATGTTTAATACTGGCAGTACCACAACAATTTACTAGTATTAAATAACAAAATATTACTTTTAAATCTTGTGATAAAATTTCTTATGTGTGTGATTAAAAAGTAATATTCTTTTGGAGTTGAATTATAATTTGAAACCAGATTTTCAAACACTACATAACTGGACTGTATTGCTCTGGTGCTAATAATTTTATATATAGATATGTGTGTGTGCAGATACACCAATTTATACATATTTAATATTTTTAAGTGAAAAAAGAACAAGGATTTTATGCATGTAACACAGGCCTAAATTTGAGAGAAATAATACAGCAAACATTTCTTTCCCCCTTAGATTATTAAGTCCATGATGTCATTCTTAGTTGGTTGATTCTCTTTTAGTGTTCAAGTCTGTAGTTGTTGTTACACTGACAATTTCTTTAAGACAAGCTTACATTTACGATGTTACATTACACCAAATCACTAGCTAACAACATGACTTCTTGTGTGTCAGAGGTATTGGAACAAGGCACTGAGCATCATATAAGATGGCACATAAATATAAAAGCTTGAAAACTTATTAAAGATTTGCGATATTTTAAAGCAAAAAAATTTATCATAAACAACATGTACCTAACTTATACAAAAAAGCTCCATGATGCAAAATTGGCATTGTAGAGGAAAGTAATTTTTGAGGAATAATTTAACAATTTTCTAGATTAAAATTAACAAATTAATCAATATACATTGTCTTGAATCCATTAACTATTAAGAAAACACTCTTATTTTTCTATTATATCTTTACTTGAGAACCTGAAGCAATCTAACAGCTTCATAATGTTGTTTTCCAGATAAGATCAGTCTTGAAACTATTATTACCAAATGTTTATCTCTAAGAATCGAATTGTTAGTTTTTTGTTGAAATCCAAAATTTCAGTCTCCAGAAAATGAATTCTGCATTTACCAGAAAGAACTATCTGGGATTCTGATGGTAGTTGAATGCGTTCAGGACAATTTCAGGAATAAACCTCTGCTATGATAATGTTAATGCTTTAATGTGTGAGTTTTCTTATGTGATCTGATTTTGGCAATGCATTTTCATATTTCAGAATGATAGTTTATATAAGGCTCAGTCAGCCTCTTTGATTCCTTTTGTTTTGCCCCAACATTTTCCTCAATGGGGAAAGAGGTATCAAATAACCCAAGAGAAGATCATAAAAATACATAGATGCACTGAAAAATGATGGGACAGTGCAAGGTCAGTGTTTCTTTCTAAACTGCAAGACTCCATGATTTCCCAGTATTCTGATTCTACCTGCACTTTCAACAGTCATTTACAGCACCTCAGACAACAACGTCTGCAGAGGGCCCAATCAACGAAGCAGAGTAGTATACTCCCAGCATCACAAAGTTGGCCTCTACAGAAGTGTATAAAAACATTGAGTTCAAAAAAAAAAAAAAGGATAAAATTGACATATGGCTTATAGCCTCTGGCCCTAAACCCAGAGGAAAAAGAAGTAAGGCAGGCCACCTGCTGCTTCCTCATTATGATGAGTAGACTGTTGATTTAGCCAGCTGTGCTTTGTTTTCCTCAATCATGACATGCTTGGCAAGTTCATCAGAATTAATTCCCAAGTTCTCCTTTAATTTGTTGAGCTCAAAGTCATGGAGAATCTTGATAGTCATTAACTTTTCTCGCTTGATTCTCTCCACAACATGTTTTGGAACATCAGGTATCATCCAGGCCAGCAAAAATTTAACTAAAAACACAACATGCTAGAGAAAATATAAAGGAAAGATTAGACACTGTTAGAGCTGTCACCTGTTCAGCAGAAAGTCTTTACAAGTCATTTCACTTACTTAAAAAACTGCTGAACATGTGAACATAAAAAACTTTCAAAACATATGAAGAAAGACAAGCAAGAAGATAGGGTCCTGTCCTAGAACTTTCATACAAAGATCACCATTAAACAAATAAATATATACTTAAGTATGTAACTAGCAATATTCTAGTTGAACATGATTATTGAATACACTATTTTTCACTGTTCCCTCATAAAAACTTGATAAAATATTTATAAAGGAATTAGACTCAAAAGAGTGCAAAAAGCTAACAGTTAAACTTACAAATGGTAATGTGGTGACTGATAGTGGAAACCAAAAAGACAAAATCCAATTTTGTTTCAGATTGTCAGAAATGTTCAGGAAAGAAGGCACTAAGGACTTTTGAAGGTATCAGTGTGGGTTGGAGTTAAAAACAAGAGGATTAGATAAATATTTGAATAAGGAGCACTTGAATTTTCAGAGCCTTTCTGTCATCTGTATCCAGGTATTCTTTCACTTTTTACTAGACCCTGGAAGCAGCTGAAGAGTTTATTTTCTAAAGAAATTATACCAGAAAGCTGTGAAATCAGGGGCACCAGATACAGATGAGGTATGAAAACATATTGAAAAAAATGTAAAAATGGTGAAATTCAGCATGATGAACTGTGAGCTTCTTAGTCCTCTCCGCTTTGCTCAGGTCTTAGAACATAGGCAGACATGAAATATCTCAACAGACAGATTTGAGGGGTTTTCTCTAGGAAAAATAACTATTCTGTAAAAGCAGAACTGTGAATGTCAAAATTTTATAAGATGCCAATAAAAATGTCTGCTCACTACCTTAACAACCTACAGTGAAAGCCACCAAGTGACATAACTCCTGTATGCACAAAATGCTTAAAATCAGCTTTTCACTGTCACACCCTTAAACATGAGCAGAACCATGAAACATGTAGGAAAGTCTCTGAAATGAAAAAAAAAAAAAAAAAAAAAAAAAAACCAGATATAAGGAAGAGAGCAAAAGAAAAATAGTGGAATTTAAAAAAAGTATTAATCTAGCTTTTCATAGAAGATAATATAAATGATAATTAGAATTTCAATCCAGGAAGTGTAATATCTGAATAACAGCAGTTACAGAGAGATGGGACAAAGAAAGAAAAATGTAACAAATAAATTGTTCCAGCAAATTTTCTCAACTTGAAGGGTAAGTATGTTTTTAGATTTAAGGGGCTTAATGAGTGTCTAAAACGATGAATATTGACAAATAGCAAAGAAGCCTCTTGTGAAGCTTCATAAAAGTGAGGCTAATAAGAGAATCCTAAAATCGTATTGATTTTAAAAACAGATAATAAACGAAGGCTGGGGAGTCAGAAAAGTATTGCATTTTATAGCAGTACTGGTAGCTCAATGAAAACAAAACAATGTCTTTAAAATTTCAGGAAAACCAAAATAAAGTTGATTAAATATTTTTTAAGCAAAACCACTTTCTATTATAAATTCTATTCCAAATAATCACATGTAAGAAAAGAAAAAATTTTCAATATTCAGTTTCTCAAAAATTGCCCATAATTTTTCCCCAGAAAATTATTGGAAGATGTGCTTCACCAAAGTGATCTGGTATACCAAAAATGGGAGAAACAAATATAATCTTCAACAGAAGACAAGGTGAAGAGAAGGATGATGCTTAGTTATAGCCTGGAGTGATTACAAAAAGCTAATACAAATTATGAATAAATTAAAAAGAATTCCTGACATAATTTACTGGCTGAAAAGTGATCTAAACTTCTGATGAAAATGTTAAAATGAAAGACTGATAAATTTATAATGAACTAAGAGACAGAGAGAGAGAATAAAAGGAAAACTATAATAAGAGAAATATATTCAGAGTAAAAGAAATAGATGTGACTAATATTTGTAAAGTCATAATTTATAAAACCTGACTATTGTATTTATACAAAATCTTTTATTCAGAACTCTGAAGAGCAGAAATATTTCAGAGTTGAGAGTAATCAAATATTGAAAACATATAATTTAGTGTATAAACCAGCAGGGTCTGAGGTGGCACTCTGTATCAAACACAAATATTTCTACAGCAAAGTAAATGAACAGTCACTCTAAAAGAATAAAGGCTATAAATTGCCTTAAATTAGATTATATATTGCTGCTAAATAAGTTATCAAAATACCTTCTGTTTTCTGACATTTCAAATTTCAGAATAAGATAAAAAAATGTTTAATTTTTGAGCGGTAGGAGAAAGCGAAAGTTTTTTTATTCTCTCTCTCTCTGTGGGTGTGTGTATGTGAGATCTGCCAAAGTAGAATGTCAGTAATTAACAGCTAAAAATAAAAAATTTTAAAAAAACTGCAAAATGATTTTCTTTTCCATACAAGGGTAACTACTAGAAGAGTGAGTTTATAAAATTGAAATGTTTACCTTTGGAGATTAGGATTCTAGGGTAGGGAGGAATATTATGTATGATTGCTCTTTTTTGCCATGAAGAACTACTTGATTTTTAAAATTACATGAATAACCTTGATAACAATAAAAATGAATTAAACATAATTGATTGGAATGGCATGTTCTTGGGTTAGGATTGTCTTTTATTGGACTTTACTCTAGGGTGAAAAAGTGCCTTTCTTTTATTTTTCTCTCCCGATCGGCTTTCCTGCCTCATGATTTGTATCATTCAATTTGAACCTTAGTCCAATACCACCTCTGTATTGGTTACCTTTCCTTGCATGCTTTATCTCTATAATTACACTGGATATTCCACAAGAGAGGTAGCATATATAGTAGACAGAGCATAAGCTTGAGAGTGAGGCACATTTGGCATTGAAACCCAGCACTAATGTTAGTTGGTTAACCTTAGGCCAGCTACTTATTTTTGCTGAGTCTCAGATTCCTTTTTCAAAGGTGAGTGATAAGGTCTAACTTACAATGTTGTTATGACTTAAAACAGCTTCCAGAACTAGTAAATAATAGGTATTCCATAAAATCTGTGGGTTCTTTCCCCTTTTCCTGACTTCAGAGGAAAAAAACATATTTGTTTTCCTTTCCTTTTCTGTCACCAGGGAATCTTCAACAATAGTAAGTGAATAAGAGGCAATCCATTGTACTGAGAATATCCCTAGGGTGCTTTTCATGACAACAAATACAACACTTTCTTCAAGACAATTTATTGAGATATTGCTAACTTTCTGATGAGAGGTTACCTTTAGAAATATCTGCCTAAAGAAGGAAGAGAGAAAGTGGAATGAAAGTTAAGAACAGCTTACTTCCATAACAATGATGAAGGTCATCTTGGCAGCAAGGACATGCCAGAATTGCATATTGTGAAAATATTTATTCTCATCATCAGGGGGATGCCTGTAATCTCTGTACCTGAAAAGTGGAGTAAATAAAAAAAATAGTTATAGTTTCAACAAGGGAGACCTAATATAATTTCTTATTTCTCTTAAGAAATTCTTCTAGTTGATCAGAAAAATCAGTCAAAGTTAATTGATATTATGAAACACTTATCTTTCTTGTTCACATAAAATCAGGATATATGCAATTAGATCTAAGAAGAAACACAGAAGTAAAATTTCTCTCCTGCCTTCAAAGATAGCTTCTCAAGTGAGTTACTCAAAATTTACTGCTTCTACTCCTCTTATCCTACTCTTTGACACTCCCTGTCCTATCCTTCTCTCCTATCCTTAAATTGCAGGCATATTTTAATCCTTTGATTTGACTTTTCAAAAACAGGAATATTATTGGCAACTTCTATTTTCGTGAAACTGTTTTCTTTTGGCTGTTCTGATGCTGTATTGCTTTTTTAAAATACAATTCTGAAATTTTCTTAATGCTCAACTTTGTGAGTTCATGCTCCTCTATAAAATCACTGGATACTCCTCAAAGATTTAGTCCAGCTAGGAGGTAATCACATCCAGAAATCTGACACCAGTGGCCATGCTCTTAGAGTAGGCTATAATTTCACTCAAATATGTAATATAACAATATAACAATATCTGCCTGTCTTGCAATATTTTGCTCCTTTTTTGGAGTCTCAAATGAAACAGCTGGTTTAAGTTAAGCGGCCTTGATAAGCGTGTGTGTGTGTGTGTGTGTGTGTGTGTGTGTGTGTGTGTCTTTAAATTGTATGGTGAAAAGATCTCATAGTATATGATACACGGAGAGTGGAAACAGTAAATTCACATATGAAATTTCATATTTCCTACACAGACTAAACCCTTTTAGTGGGATAGGTGGTGAACTGATTATATTATTATATTGTTATTTCTTTCTTTCTCACTCTATCTCTTTTCTGAGGACACAGACAATTCATGTAAGTTAAATGCACATACAACATGACATTGTTGTATGATCTACAGATTACTGCAACTTTGGACTAAGGGGTACCTGTTGGTGACAAATCCTTTTGAAAAAAATTTAAATTAATGTTATCTTTACCCATAACAATCTCTTAGTTTTTGACAGTCTAATTTTTCAAATCTCAATCAGGCATTGTGTGAATTCTAGAATGGATACACTTTATTTATACAGGATTTGTGTTGCCCTAAGAAACTCTTTTATATTGTAAGAAAAACATGAAGGGAATAGATAACTTAAGAAATACATTTAAAGGGCAAAATTAAAACCTAAACAAAAGGAAACCTGCAAGTGATGAAGTCTCGTTTTCCCGAAGGTGCAGTGTGGTTTGGAAAATCAGCTATCAGGAATACCGACAGGCTGTTATTGACATATCCTCTCATAGGCTGCGTGGTATTTGTTGAGTAAGCATAATAGTAAACTAAACGAGGAATGATGTCAGACGTAAATGCAACAATAAAAGCCTGAAGAACAAAAAAAGAGGAAGTTCATGAGCTGCCAATTTAGTTTTAATAATGTTTGATTTGTAAATCTCTCAGTACCATAAGCTGTATGTGATTAAATACTATTATAAATCAGAGTAATATGCAAATCTTTGTCCTGAAATACAAAACAGCTCATTTATAGTGTGTGCTTAGTATTCCAAGATATCATAGCTACTAAGTGTCTAAGTGGAGTCAGACCTAAATGTATCTATTTCCAAGAACCATGTTCTTTCCACCAAGCCTTGCTATTTCTGACATTTCTTATTGCTTCACAACACAGTTCTACTATCCTTACCAAATTCACTTTCTTAGACCAACTTCATGAGGTTGGACTGCGAGTGTGAGTGTGTGTGTGTGTGTGTGTGTGTGTGTAAGAGACTAACAGGAAAGGAATGAAGAGCAGAATATCACGTGTTTGTAAATTTCTCACAGTTCAGTGCAATTAATTTCAGTATTTGATTTCATGGGAATGATATTTTCCCATCCTTTCCTAAGCTCTGGGATAGTATAAATGGCATCTTTCTTTTAGGCTAGATAAGTCAATTAAAAAACCATCTGGCTCTGGCACTTATACTTTTAGTGCTACACTTTTAAAAAACCTAATATAACTTATATGGCTAACAATTCATTCAGATTTTCTATTACTTACTGAATAAATCTGGTAATTTTTGCTTTCTAAAAAAGTGGTCATTTCAAATGTACTTCAAAATTCATTGGCATAAATGGGTACACAGCAGTCTCTCATACTTTTCTCAGAGTTTTCCTTACTTTGTCTTTCCAATAAACCAGCTCTTAATTTACTTAGCAATTATATTGCTTTTAGTTTGTTTTCTAATTTGATTATTTCTGATTATAGCTTTATTATTTTTTACTACTATTAAGTTGATTTACTTTTTTTGTTAGTGTCTTAAGTTATATACTCAGCTCGTTTTCTAGTCTTCTTTTAACAATAAAAAAATGCATGGCAATTGAATCTTCTGCAATAGTGGTTTGGGCTCATTCCTACAGGCTTTCATTAAATTAAGCTCTCTCTACGATTTCAATTCTGTTTTTTCTTATGTGAAGCCTACTTAAAAGTGTTAGATTTTCTTCTTTGATTATCCTATCATCAATATCAATTTGTAAAGCATTATTGTAGGTGAAAATACATTGTAAAAGTTACACTTTTAGAAATTCATTTTTCTTACATTTTAATAATTGTTTTATAAACATAACAGGTAAATATTGTATATTCTCTGTAGTATATAAACATAATCAATGTTTAATTGTTTTATTCAAATACATTATACTGTTACTTATTTTCTACTTTGTCACATGCTGTGAAACTGTTTCATGATACTTCAATGAGAGTAATTTTATAATTTTCCCTGTATTTATAAGAGTTTGCATGTCATAGGTTTTTCTATATTGGTTAGTGCATACCAATTTTGGAATGTTTTAGATTTATAAAGTATTACCATGATGAAATCAATGTAAGATGAAGCATCATTCACATGTCCCCATGGCTCCCCAAATAAAATGAAATACAAAGTCACCCCACTGAAGTAGATCCACTTACATTAGTTGCAACGGAAAGGACAGCCATTCCATAAAGAATGTCTTGCCAAACACCTATGCTATGAGCTTTAGAAGCTACAGTTCTCCTGTATTGAGTGGTAAGTTTCCAGGCATCCACTCGAATCTCTACAATATTATTTATGAGAGCAAGAAGAGGAGCCAAAGGGAAAGAGGCCACAAATAGTGTAACAAATCCAAATTGAATAACTGTAGAGAAAAGAAAAGGGCACAAACTCATTATTGTGATGGAGAAAGATGGGAACACCCTCCCCAAATCCTGCTACTTCCTTCATTTTGGAGTAATTAGCACCAACAATCCAGGCTTCTGTCAGTCTGTCCACTTTCTCCTCTCCACAGGAGACACAGTGACTTACCTGCTTGCTAGAACTAGAAGGAGAAACTGGGCTTGCATGGCTGAGTTCCTTCTTTGTTCTTCCATTAGAGATATGCTTGTTAGAAGAAAGAATCTATTCTTCTTTGCCTTTTAGTATGGGCTAAGTTTAGGTTTATGCTGGTTTAGTCTTTACATTTGTATTAGCAATTTAGGGAGGTAACCAAGTTTTTCTTTCTTGCTAGCCCATCTACTTTTTGAGATCAAGCATGATGACTGATTCATTTGTATATTTTCAGCAGCCAGCTCTGTATGCACACGTGTGTTCTTGTGTGTGTGTGTGTGTACGTGCGTGCGCGCACACGCGCCAGCAAAGGAAATAAACATTTTCTAGAATAATGACTTTGTTAAGGTCTTGATTCTCCTTACTATCATGACATCTTTCTAAATAAATTTTATTCTCTCTCCTCATTAAGACTCAACAGAGGACTACATCTGTGTAAGCTGGCTTATCTCCACACTTTTATTCTTTTGTTTCCAACAATGTTTGGGGTAAAAGAATGTATGCATCTGACAGCCCAAGCTTCCCACATGATTAAATTTTTTTTAAAAAAAGCCATTTAATGGAAACGGCTTTCCATTAAAGGAGAAGAAAAAACATTTCTGTTATTCCTCTATTTTCAAATAAGTCTCAAATGTTTCTGGATTTTAGCTTCTCTCATCTGACTGAATCAGTCTTGTTATGAAGTAAAAAAATACATATTGCATTCTTTTTTTTCCTGCTTTTTTCTACCTAACTTACAAGGTAGAAAATGAAGAGGAAGCATTATGTAGAAGCAGTATGAATATTCTAGGTTCATATCTCATATCTTTACCTAAAATCTTCGTGGCCCATCAAAAATATATTAACCTATCCAAGTTTCAGAATCCTCAACAACAAAATGTGTCGAATAATGAATACTCTGGAGAAGTGTTTTAAAATTAGAGATAGTATATAAAGTTTTCAGAATAAACTAATTATGTCTCAATAAGTGGTATACAATCTTATTAAAACTTTCAACTTTTTAATTTTTGTAATAATCTCTGATGCATACATGTGCAAACTCATATGAAACTTACACAATTCATTAAAAATTATAGCCTTATCACCTTATAAAGCAAAGACTATTGATTTTACAAAGAGTTGTATAAAACAACATCTATCTGTTCTAAATTTGAATTTCGATTCATGTATCACATATACGTATTACACTGAAGAAGCATGAAGAGTTTGGCTCATCTCATGTATTCTACCATTGTTTTATGGGTCTTGAGAGTATGTTAAGAAAATCATTTTCCTTAATTCTATGCAAGAAACAAAGAAAATGGCTTGAGAGAAAACACTCTGAGCAGACTATATAAGCAGTACGCAGAAAAATCGCTCTAAAAGTTGCACCTCAAGGGTTTCTTCTCTGTTCAATCCTTGCAATGTTTTGGATGTTTCTTGTGTTCAGCTGTATTTCCCTTACATAACTACTTTCAGCCTTCTTTTAGCCCTCAGAGAAAGGACATAAACTCATTGCAAGTCAAATCCTGGGTATGTTTTCCAAGCAACTTATTCTCTCTTTGAGCTGTCACTGAGGCAAAAAAAAAAAAAAAATGGAGAAATAGCCATCAAAGCTAATTTGAGATGGGTGTTAAAAAAAGACTCTTACTTAATTTGGTTCAACAACATTAACATTCAACTGATAGGAATTATGTCTCCGAGACTGGTGTTTTGAAAGTAAACTTCATTCTGTAGTCTATTTGGTGGGTCAGGGAAATAGGAAACAAATCTTCCTTGTATCACTCCATCCATCTTTTTTGCCAACCAACTAATAATTTATTGAACATCTACCAGGTGCAAGGCAGAAAAACCACTCATTCATGATGACTCTGTGTTTCAGAACAGTGATTTAAAATTACCTGTTTCTAAGTACTCATAAAAAAGCCCAAGGGGTCCAAAACTTTCAAGGTCATGATCCTGCTCCCATCGACTATACAATTTCTCAGAGTTTGTCCGAGCTTTTCGGCGTCTCCACCAATTCAAAGCCAAGCTGTTGGAAGTGATAAAAGTAAATATATGAAATAGAACTAAAAAGAAAAAGATCAGAGAATCAAAGTGTTAGATCTGGAAACTGGCAGAAATGAGAGGTTAAATAAGATCACAGAGCAAAGAGAAATGACTCCAGCCAAAGGGCAAATCAAAATCTGGTATTATTTTCATGACATATGCAAAATTCTTTATTAGGTGACTGAGAAAATAAGACAATCCTGACTCACAGACAGTTTGGCTACATTATAAGTGGAGGGGAAGCTTACCACTAAGACCACATACAATCCAGATGCTGTCATGAAACTCAGAAGAAAATTCAAACTAATATGAAATTGATTATAATAGGAAATGACTTATGTGAAAATAAATGCAATAACATTAAACAAAATTTTAACCAACTGAATTCTATGCTATATGAAAAGATAATATATCATAATAATGTATTACTTTTTTTTAAAAAAAAAGGCTGTGTTTTTTAACAAATAACATATATATATATATCTCACATTGAATGGTTTAAGGCGAAAAATATAAAATAATCTCAATTGATGCAGAAAATACATTTGCTATATTAAGCATTTAATAGTATTAAAACCTGCTTAGGAAAGAAAAGTAGAAACAGAAAAAATATTACTTCAATCTAATAAAAAATATCTACTAAAATCCTAGGGCAAATATCCTTCCTTTTCTTTCATTCTCCTTTATTTTCTTTCCTTCTCTTTTTCTTCTTTCTTTCTTTTTTGAGACAGGGTCTCACTCTGCCACTCAAGCTGGAGTGTGGTGGTGCCATCACAGCTCACTGCAGCCTCGACTCCCTGGGCTCAAGTGATTCTCCTGCCTCTACCTCTCCAGTAGCTGGGACTACAGGCATGTGCCTTCATGCCTGATTAATTTTTAAATTTTATTCTGTGGAAATGAGATCTTGTTTTGTTGCCCAAGCAACTCCTGGGCTCAAGCAATCCTCCCTCCTCAGCCTCCCAAAGTGCTGGGATTACAGGCGTGAGGCAATGCACCAGGCTGCAAACATCATTCTTGATTGGGAAAAGTCAGAAGCATTGCCTTTAGAATCAAAAACAAAATAAGAATGTGCATGACCATATTCAAGATTATTGGAGACCTTAGCCAGTAAAATAAAATGAGAAAGGCAAAAAAACTGGAAATATAGGAGAAATCTGTGATTATGAACAGTTATGTGATTGTCTGAATAGAAGACCCAAGTGAAGTTAGACAAAAATGATTAGAAATAATATTAAGATTTATTAATATATTTCTTTCCTGTACACCCACAACACCCAAGTAGAAAACATATATTTTTAAAAAAAAATATTATTTACAATAGCAATTAAAAACTACACAGAAATTGACATGATAAAAGAATTATAAGCCCCATATTTAAAAGTTTAAAATCTTTATTTGAATTTACTAAAGTCCAATTTAAGTGTTCATGAATAAGAAGACTTGGTATTATAAAAAAGTCAACTGTTTATATTAAAACAATTAAAATGTAATTTCAATGAAAGAACCAAAATATTTCTTCATGTAAAATCTAACAAGATATTTATAAAATTTATATAGATTTCTAAAAGACCAAGAATAGCCAAGACAGTTCTACAGATAAAAAGTAAGTTGATAAATGTAGCCCCACCAGATATCAAGACTTACGAATCTGTATTAATTAAGAGATTGTTGTACTGTATTCACAATGGCAAAGACATGAAATCAACCTAAATACCCATCAATGGTAGAGTTCATAAAGAAAATGTGGTACATATACACCACGGAATGCTAAGCAGCCATAGAAAAGAACAAGATCATGTTCTTTGCAGGAAAATGGATGGAACTGAAGGCCATTGTCCTTAGCAAACTAATGCAAGAACAGAAAAACAAATACCACATGTTCTTGCTTATAAGTGGGAGACAAATGATGAAAACACATGAACACATAGAAGGGAACAGCAGACACTGGGGCCTATCAGAAGGTAGAGTGTGGGAGGATGAAGAGGATCAGGGAGAATAACTAATGGGACTAGACTTAATACCTGGCTGATAAAATAATCTATACAACAGACTCCCATGACACAAGTTACTTATGTAAGAAACCTGCACATGTACCTCTGAACTTAGTTTTTTAAAAAAAGAGAGAGAGATTGTCGTACTTCTACAGGGATAAACAAATCTTGGGATAGAACGGAAAACTAGAAATAGCCTTGCAGTTGGTATAATTCTAGATAGTATTTATATGGCATGTAGATAGTGTTTATATGACATAAAAGGTATTGTAGAAAATATTTTATGTAGATGAATAGCAGTGTAGATGATAGTAGAAAAAGGAAACTTTTCAATAAATCATAATATAACAATTTATACAAATATATAGTTTATACATATATATATACACACATATATGTAAAAAATAGATTTGTACCTCATATCAAACATATAAGTCCTGTTCATATATGTTAAGAATTTGAAAATGAAAGACAATAATGTTAAAATGTATAAAACATTTATAAGTAAGTATATGAAAATATCTTTGTGTATGTGTGTGTGTTTCCATATAACTTTTTATCAGTATGTCTGCATATTCAGTATTTTGCTTAGGACCTTAATTTGGGCATAACTTTAACCAATATAGTAAATAATAATAAAAATGTCTCATAATCTTGTGTAGGAAAATATTTCTTTTAAAGTTATGTAATTTTGTTCATCTAAACCAGTGGTTTCCAACTGGGAGTAATTTTGCCCGCAATGACACAATTGCACTGTCTCAAAATATTTTGGTTGTCACAACTGGGGAAAGATGGGTTACTGGCATCTAGTGGGTACCGTCCAAGGATGCTGTTAAACATCTTACAATGCAAAGGATAACCAACACCCCCACAACTAAGAATTATGTCAATAATTCTGTGGTTGTGAAACTGTGACCTAAACATACTATTAAAAAATAAGAAATAAAATTCATGTCAGAATAAAATATTTTCAACATATATTATCAAAAAAGAAGCAAACAAACAAAAGCCAGTAACCAGAAGTTTAAATGTATACATACAAATCAATTGAAAAAAGATAGACAAGTAGGAAAACGCTTAAACAACACGAACAAGCATTTAATTGAAAGGGAAACAAATATGGCTGAAAATGCTTATTCCTGTTGTTAATCAGAAAAATGCAAAATTAGACCAAAACAAGATATCATTTATAACCCCCACTTAGCAAAAATTAATAAGACAATATGAAGTACTGTAGAAAATGTGGATTAAGAGGAACAATTATATGTTGCTTATACTCAAACCAGACACAAAGAGAAAGAAAAAGAATGGAAAGGGGAAAAGCACCTGAGATTTCTGAGACAATAATCAAACACAGGAGCATACTATAACTGGAGTCACAGTGGAAAAGAGATCACCCAGTTCAAGAAAGAGAATATGGCTAGAAATTTCAGAATTTATTTCATGTGCTTCATTCCATTTATAAATTCTTCAATTCTGACATCCATAAGCATTATTTTAAAGTTTATATAATCACTTATTTGGTTTTATAAAATATAGTTTTGTCTATGATCCATTTTGAGTTCATTTTTGAATGAGGTATAAGTTTCACATAGTTTTATTATTTCACATATGGGATGTCCAATTTTTCCAGTGCCATTTATGAAAAAGTCTACTCTTACATCAATTAATTGTTTTTGCACCTCTGTCTTAAATAAAATGGTCATATTTGGCTTACAATCTCTACTTGGTTCCATTGGTTTATATAACTACCCCTTCACCATCCTGCATTGTCTTGATTAATATAGTTTGTAGTAAGCCTTAAAATTGAGTAGGGTAATTCCTACAGCTTTATTCTTCTTTTATCATACTTCTTTGGGTTATTTTAGTTCCTTGGCCTTTCATATAAACTTTAGAATCCACTTGTCTATACCTATAAAAAGCCTGCTGATATTTTGATTAGAATAACAATAAATCTATATGTAGAAATTTGGAAATAACTGACCACCAACATGATATCTCTCTCCATTTACATAGTTTTTAAAATTTCATCAGGATTTTGTAGTCCTCCCCATACAAATCCTATATGATTTTAGATTCTACCAAATTATTTAATTTGATTGGAGCTAACAGATTCTGTGCTAACCAATGTTTCTTGCATTCTGTACTTTCACTTTATGATCTCCTTTTTCTCAAGTAAATCTTTCAGTAGTTTTCGCCATGATGATCTATAAATGTAAACTCTCCTGGTCTTTTCATATCTAAAAATGTCTTTAAAAGCACTTTAAATAATAGCTAACCTGGTTCTGGAAATTAAAGGAAACATTATTTTCACTGAGAACCTTGAAAATACTATCTTTTGGCATCTAATGCTATTGATGAGAAACTGATGATAGTGTAGATGACATTCATTTGAATAAAGTTAATGTCTTTTGTCTAAAATACTTTAAATATCGTCTGTTTATCTTTGGTGTTCTGTAGTTTCACCATAATGAATTGGGGTGTGAATTGAATTCTATTATCTTGAATTGAATTCTAATATCCTGATTTATACTCAGAATTTGTTTCCATTTCTGAAACTCATGTTTTTCCTCATTTTTGAAAAATGTTCAGCAATTACTTATTCAAATAATTTTTTTCCTTCACCATTTACTCAATTACCTTTTTCTGGAAATACTAGTAAATTATTGTGGAAGCCTCTTGATCTAACATACCTTTACTTTATTTTTAATCAAATGTCATATATTTGTTACACTGTACAATGTAGGAATTTCTCACTATTATTTTCCAATTCACTAATCCATTCTCCAACTGTGTCCAGGGTGGAATCGAACTGTGGAATTTTCCAATCGATTGTACTCATTATTTAAAGTTTATACTTTTTTTATTTAATACTTTAATCTTTCATTTATGTGTAATTTCTTCCATTTCATATTCACTTATTCTTATTTCATTTCTATCAGTTTTTATTTAAATATTTCTTGATCTGTTTTAATGATAATATCAATGTCCATTATGTTGTTAGTATTGTCAGCATCTTTTTTTAAGGGCTTTGCCAGAACAGTCTAGTTAGAAATATCAGCTGAAGTAAGTCCACTTTATAGTAGCTGATTTTATTCACAGCCTTTGTAGCATTAAACATTATCACGTTTTAGAATTTTGATTATTAGGAAGGCTTAGGTTTTTTTTTGTTGTTGTTGTTAATTTGCTGCTGCTTCTTCTTTTTCAATTCTTTTACCTCCCCTGTCTTTTGTCTCTCTCCCTGTCTGTGCACCTGTATCCCCCATCTTCTGTTTGGTTTAGGTATTGTCTCCATTCAGTCCCCTGTGTTCTCAATCCAGAGCTAGAACTGAAAATATAATTTGGGCGCCAGGCACAGGGACTGATGCCGGTAATCCCAGTACTTTGGAAGGCCGAGGGGGTGGATCACCTGAGGTCAGGAGTTCAAACCAGCTTGGACAACATTGTGAATGCTAAAAATACTAAAAATACAAAAAATTAGCTGGGCATGGTGGCTGGTGCCTGTAATCCCAGTCACTTGGGAGGCTGAGGCAGGAGAATTGCTTGAACCTAGGAGGCAGAGGTTGCAGTGAGCTGAGATTGCTTGCACTCCAGCCAGGGTGACACAGTGAGACTCAAAAAAGAAAAGTTTGGAGCTATTTTCCTTATGGATGTGGTATATCAAAGCATGAAACTAGAAGGTTAGGCTCACATTTATTACCATTTGTAAGGATAAGTCTGTGTTCTTCTTTTGTTAGTACTTGAAATAGAGCCCTAAGCGGCACTATGTAATCGTGTATATACTGGAAGTAGGAAGGTGCAGGGATGATGTTTTCAATCTTCTTTCATGAGTAAGAGAATAAACCTAGTCTCTGCCTTCCAGGGCTATTAAACTGGATAGTATCTGTCTTAAGTGGAGCACTTTTACTCCACTTTATATTGCATGACAAACCCTGACACAGTTATTTCCCAACTAGGAACCCTGTAGGAATATAGACTTATGATTTTATAATGCTTTCTCTTTTTATCCATGACAGATGTTCATCTACTGTTTGAAATAAACTGTCAGTTTAGTCATGATTGCTGTGTTTTGATCAGAGAGGAATCATTCATGTATTGACCTGAAAATCTCCCTCATTTCATTTACAATCTATTTTTATGCCTAGATTACATGACACAGGGATATTTTTACAAAGTTCACCTTTTAGTAATATTCAGAAATAATAAACAGTATGTAGAATAAACTGCAGAGGATATGGCATTTAGATGTCCCAGTAAAATCTTCACAGGAGAGAGGAATAAATAATCCCTTAAAAAAGGGAAAAGTAACAAAAGCACATATTTAAAAGATTGTATTCAATATATTATATTGTACCTCATAAATATGTATAATTATTATTTGTCAGTTAAAAAAATTTTAAAAACCTTGCTAGCCATGGAACCAAAAAGCAAATAAATGAAAATAAAAGTTTATTAAGATTCAACCTTCACTGTTGATTAAAAATAACGTGTTCCTTTTGGCTTAACCATTTTCTAACAAAGGCACCATCATAATTAAAAAATTTCATCTTTTTCCAGAGGAAATCTTTCATGGTTACTTAAATAAAAATATTGTAAGTCATACATACGGATAAATGGCTTCTTTAATGTTTCCAAAAATCTGTTTCCCAGTCATTATAATGGTCAACTGGGTTGTCAATTCTATAAGACAGCCTCCAGGATCACACTAGTCAGAAGCGACAGGGGAGAAAACAGAATTGAACGATCAAAGATGCAATTTTGCAACACCTAAAGAAAACTCTAAGCCATAAGATTAGGATCTCAAGGTTTTGGTTGGAAGGATTAAGATATATTTAGCCCAATAATTCCTAACATAATCACAGAGCAGTGCCAGGATGACTGCATTAGATTCATCTGTGAACTGTGTGAAAAACACAGATTTCTAGGTCTCATTTTTAGATAATTCTAAGTCTTTATATCTGTGTTAGGGGTGGGAGTTGGTGTACTCTCCATGCTTCATAATTTGGAAACCATAAATCAGTTCTAACTCAATTACCCATAGTGGAACCATTTATACAGAGAGCAATCATTCTTCCTTTGCAGGAAACTTTCAGGAAGAAAGAACTTAACTTACATCATTTTATAGCTCATATTTTACTACCAAACCATAGGCATGATATAACTTCTTGCTCAAAACAAACAGAGAAGTTTATCAAATGACAGGATTCATCTGTGAATAATACTCTCTGTGGACGGAGTCAGTGTCTAGACATATTTTGCAATATTTTAGCATCTAAATCAGTGCTTGGCAAACAGAAAGTGGTTAACATGAGTATTGAAGATACACACCTCACCTCTCAAGGAAATTCTTACCTCTTCACCTCTCCACTCATTAAATAAATATGTGTATCCTCCAGGATAGCCTACGAACTTTCCTTTAAAGAAAGCTACGTAGAAGCAGGCTGAGTAAAAATTTACAAACTGAAACAGGAACATTTTCAAGGTTAGACTGCTCTCATACTCCTGGTAGGTTCGAGGAATTTCTGTTAAGTTAAAAACAATAGGTTTAGCACATCGTCTTATGTTTCCTTGAACTCTGTACTCCCTGGGACAAGTGAACATACAGTCACATCATTCTGAGAGCCTATAGCATGCGCCCTATTCTGGCAATAGTAGGCCAATATTAACTATGGATTTGTGCTAGACTTTCTGTTACATACTTCATATTAAACTAACCACTGGAAAAGCCTAGGAGGCTGTTGCTACTGCAGTCAGAGAGACAGCATTCTTGTCTTGGGGTTACACAAACGTGAAATTCAAACCCACATGATATGGTTTGGCTCTCTGTCTCCACACAAATCTCATGTCAAATTTTAATTCCCACATGCCAAGGGAGGGCCCTGGTGGGAGGCCATTGAATCATGGGGACAGCTTCCCCCATGCTATTCTCAAGAAAACTGATGGTTAACTTCTGATGGTATTGAGTGAGTTCTCAAGAAAACTGATGGTTTTAAAGTGTAGCACTTACCTATGCACTCTCTCTCTCTCTCCTGCCACCTTATGAAAGAGGTGTTTTTCTCCTCTTTGCCTTCCACCATGATTGTAAATTTCCTGAGGCCTCCCAAGACATGTGAACTGTGAGTCAATTAAACCTCTTTCCATTACAAACTACCCAGTCTCAGGTAGTATCTTTATAGCAGTGTGAAAACTAATGCACCAAATAAGACTGAAGAATCTTATGCTTACCTCCAAACACTATCTTCTATCCTATAAGCACATCAGATCTCATCTGCTTACAATCTTGTTTAAACAAAGTAAGCTCATGCAAAGGGAGGGATGATTTCCAACAGAATTGTGTTGCCTTCTCATGAATTAAAAGGTTATATTAATTCTGAAAACAATGTGATCAGCAAATAGTAGAAGAAATAGTACACATTTTCCCTCTCCTTTATTTAAAATGCATGATCATGATCTGTCATTTAATGAATTCTAAAGGTAAAAAAAATTAAATTATCTTCACCCTACAATAGAGGCTCATGAAGCATAAAAGAATAAAAAAGTATGTTTTCCTGAGCTGATGATCTCCCAGTAGCATGAGCTGATCCAGCCAAATCATGTTATTTCCAGCAATACTGGAAGAGTATTACAAATTATTTTAAAGACAGAGATAGCTCCTACATTTTAGTGAAATGTAGCTGTATTCCTACAAAACCTGTAATGTGAACTTGAATGATTTCTTTTCCCACTGAGAAAAACGGTGAGTTTTTAGGTGCTTTTTAAAAGCAATTTATCTGCTGTGATTTTCTCACTGTTCCTAGCAGAGAAAAGTAAATCTGCGAGAGAACTCAAAATTTGAAGAAGTATATAATGAAAGTCTCATCTCAGTATTCATTCCAGTGCTGACTGAATAATGTGCTCTTTTCTTGGCATTGACCATGATATCTACGTACAACAGATTCAAAGGTGCTTGATCCCTGGAAAGAGCACTCAGAGAAGAGGCTGATACCTTGAGTCTCCAACTTTGATCTTGCTGCTAACTTGCTAGGAAAAAGGGTAGAAGTGACTGTGCTCTGCGCTGCTACCTAACTCAATCTCTCACTTAACCTGTGGCCCTTTCACTTTCCCCCATGGCTTTCAGTAAAAATTTTAATATTTTAACAAGAAAATAATCCAAGTTCTAAGAGATGGCAGTTAAAAAGAAAAGCATTAAAATTTAGATTTATTTAGGAGAAGCTGATTGTTCTGTTTTTCTCAAGATAGCTTCCAAAATCAATACTTTCTAAGAACCACATACATGAAATAAAAATCATCTGTGTCTTCAATAAAGTGAAGATTTTAATCAGGATTCAACTAGACCCATCAAGGGAGAATTAAGACAAGAATACTCAAAAAGATATAGAATCCAAATTTTTTTTTTCCCAGTTCTTTTTGCTACTTCCATTATAATGGACCTTGAATGTGGCTCTTGGACGATTTTGAAATAGCAGATATGGGTCTACCTATAGAGAAAAACTGCCTTAAAAAGTGCCCTTTGAAAATGAACTCCTGGGGAGTGCTCCAAAATAGACACATAGCATCAATATGAATCATTCTTCAGAATCACACTAATGATTTGGCTAGCTTACCCATTTTTGTAATCCAGGCAGATATTCTTTCATAAAAGAAATTCAAGATCAAGATGACTATAAAGTTCAAGCATGATCCTGTGAGTGATGTAGCTATCTGAGGAGTAAGGACGCTTTTGACCTGCTTTAAGGATGCATCACTTTCCATGAAACTAGCAAATGTGGCAAAGACTGACAGGCGGTACACGATTACAGCTACCATGCTGGCGATGACAAGAGACATCTGGAGAAAAAAAGCAAAGTACTGCTATTTGGGTCTCTGTATCTCTGTTATGAATACATATCTAACACATTGATTATTCTGTTCATCTGATATGAAGTTTAGTAGGTCTCATGTGCAAAGCAAAGTAAGTCAGTCTTTCTTGCCATAGATGGAAAGATATGAACACTGGCAAGGTAAAAGGGTTAGAGATAAGGCACATGGTAGCTGCTGGTTAAGTCTAAAACATAAACATATTCATTCTCATCCTCTAGGCTCATCCTCTAGCAGGGAGAGACAAACTATAGTAGAAGGCCAAATCCTGCCCATGGCCTTGCCTGTTCTTATATGGCCCTTAAGTTAGGCATGTTTCTTTGAATTTCAAAAGGTTATAGAGAAAAATAAAGACAATTATGTTCTAGAGCTATATGTAGCCACAAATCCAAAAATATAGCTGGCCCTTTCACAGAAGATGTTTGCTGACACATGCTCTAGGTTGAAGTTAAACATGCAGAATCAAGATCACTTACTTTCCCAGGAAAAATACACGTCAATATTGTATTTCATTTCCCCTTGGAATGTTGTCACTAGTGCTCTAATATGCCTGGTAGTTTAGAAATTTATATAGATTCTGTATAAATTTTGTATACTTCCCATGTTGCAAAAGCATGACGATGCCTTTCTATCAATCATTAGAGAATTTTATTCTAAAAATTGAGGAAGTGAGTCAAATTAAATAAAAGCTAGTAATCAAAAACAGAATAAATTTCTGGGGACATAATCCAGAAGATTTCTCAAAAGAGTCCTGAATTGATAATTCTCCCCATTTTATGTTATCACATCTCCTCAACGATTATTACGTAATCTAAGAAAACACATTTCTACTGTTTTAAAATGTGAAAATAATAGACTTAACAAGAAATGTTAAAGATAAATCACGCAGGATTTATGGACTGGTGAGTCTAAACTATAGTCTACAACTGTCAATCATTTATATTTCAACATTCTAACCCCTCAGAGGGTAACACTGGCTCTTTTCCTAAAATTAAATGCTAACTGTTAAGAGGGAACAAATTTGGAAAAGGAACAGCAGGAAATAAAGTGGAAATAAAGATAAATTCATGATTTTTCTAAAAGTAACCAAAGAGTCTGGAATCAGAGTAAGTTTGTTATTCTGTCCTGATTTCAAGTGACCACTTAAATGAAGTGCCGTGAGGCAAGGAGAAATAGGTTTTAAGTTAAGTACCTCCTCTTCCCTGAGATATTTTCCCAAAGTTTAATTATAAAAAAGCCATATAAATTACAGTTTATTTTGTATAAGAGCTATAACCAAGATAAAAAGATCAGGGAGGCAGAGGGAAAAGAAGGACTCAAGAGACATTGCAGATGACACTGTTGAGATAGCTCATTTAATTGCCTGTTGAAGAAATGATAACAATTTTAAAAGAAATGCTCACCCATAATGTCACTGTGGCTCCTGAAAAAAAGTACCATGGAATACGTGTGTATAGAGGCATGTAAGGTTCCATCTCCTGTAATGTTGAGGAAATCACAAACAAATTCAAAATCTCCTCTCTTAGTTGAGACTACAAGCACTAGTCAATATCATAGAGCCCAGTTAAAGTAGAAATCTCCCAAAAGGGCCTACTATAGTTCATGGAAATCTACATTATAGGGATGGTTCCTTCCCTTGAAGTAGAAATCTTTATGAGACATAATGGATATACACAATTTCCTAAATACTGAATTATAATACTCGGCCTGGCAGACAGTAAACAAAGTCAAACAATGAGGGTTGTTGCTGCTTAGGTAGACATGCTTTATGATGTTTAATGATGTTATAATTTTATTCTAATTGAATTGAATTGCATTACTCTGCATATTATATTAGATGCTTTCTTCATATTTTTCAGATAACTGTGTTCTTCCACATAGCTCAGGATCCAAGACTTCCATATTTAGTCTTTAAGAGTCATTAATGAAAGATACCTATGATACAGCTGACATTCTTAGGTGCATCAAGACATAAGCAGGTTTTACCCAAAAAAACAAAAAATACTAAAAAAAAATTGTGTCAGCAGAAATCAAAATTATGTAATTCCATAATATTTCACATTTAAGAATGTTTAGGGTGGTTTGAATAAAAATAGAACTCTCAATGGCAGATTAGGCCATTCAAGAGTCCTATAGACCTCAGAGTATTTGTGCATGTATTTATAATATGTGACTGTGGACATGTGTGTTCACACGTGTACCAATGTATATGTGTTTATACATGTGTATGCATATTCATGTGTGTGCATGTGTGTGTTCCCAATGTGGACTCAAATGTGAGTGTTCTGGTTGCTCTTCAACACAGAAAAAGCATTACTAGTAAGAAAAAAACAAAACAAAACAAAACTCTGATTTTTGATTTCGAAACCATGAAAGCTAAGTGAAGTGAAGCTGATGATTCACAGTGAATCAATATATACTGCTTTTCAACTGGTTTCAAATGTAAGCATTCAATACATTTTTTTCTGTTAATTTTCAGAAAAGCTAATAAGACTACTTTTGTTTTCTTTTTTTCTTATGAAATAGGAATAAACATCATGTTAGTACTCTGTCAATATTTTTAAATATATTTTCTTAATTTCAAACTGCCACCCAAATTTTTGATGTATTTTCTGAGATGTTTTCTTGATCTTTCAATGAAATTTAGTAACTGTATAGTGAATGCCTAAACAGTGAAAAGAAATTTTATATGTTATGCTGCAAGAATAGTTTTCCAAAGAGAATAGGGAATTCTACTGAAAAGAGTGCACTGGGCACATATTATTCTCTTTTAATTAGCAGCAAGCAACACTGTGACTGTAGATTATGAAAAAATAGAGGCTCTAAAAATATGTAACCAAGATTCTGGTTTCTAAAGGCAAAGTTACTTCCATTTTCACATGGAAAAAGTGGGTTACCAAAAAGTTAAACAACTCAGTCAAGAACACACAGCTGGTTCTGTCAGCTAAGAATTCTAATATGTAGACTCCCACCCCCACCCCACCCCACTGCAATGATTCTCAATATAATCAGTTAAAAGGGGCCATGTGAAGAAAAGTTAGTCTAATAAAACAATCACTCATAAGACCACAATCTGAATATAAATACTATTTTAATTTTTGTATATCAACTTAGCATCATTTCAATGTCTATATATTTATATACAAAGCCTACTGCATATACATGATTTTCCTTTTTGCACTTGGTTTAATGTTATTATGCCTTGGATTTACTTCCAAATAATCTAGTGACATAAAGGATGAATGAAACAAGATTGTCCATGAATGAAAAACAATTGATTCTGGGTCATCGGTTAATCCATGTAGTTAGTTCATTATACTTTTCTATCTACATTTGAAAGTATTTAAAAATTTTCATATATATGAATTCATATATATACATTTACATAAGCGTATGTATATTAGAAACAAGTAGTTTATGTGATTTATATGTTGCAGAATATTTTAAAGGCAAATTAAACTATGATTATTTGAGAAGAAACCTGCAGCAATGTGTCCATTAAGATATGCTGCCCATTTCACAGTTTTCTAGTCTACCTTAGTCACTGCATTCAATTTCCTGTGTTTACACATAGCTTCAAATTCCGGTCTCAGCTGAAGCTGCTGCTGTTCCTCCTCAAAGTCCACCAGGTCCCACTCATATTCCAGTCTGGCTTGTCGTTGTTTCCAAAACTCCAAAAATAAGGTGACTATAAGTAAATAAACATAAAAAAATAAGATATGAAAAGATAAAGGTAAATAAAAAGCTTTGTCAATTTTTCTCTTTAATCACTTTGGTTGCAGGATGGTTCAAATTTTTCAGGTGGCTATTCTGTCACTGTTGTGTTTGAAAATTTATCAATTACTAATGTTGGCATAATATTCTGTATTCAATAATATACTGAAAAAAGTCATACAAAAATTCAAATTAATTTCTTGGTCAGTGGTACAAGCAATATTTTTTTTTCAGACATATTAATATCTTTGATCATTCAGATAATTTGAAGTAATATTTAAATTTAGCTTTTTATTAAACACTGAGGTGGTTTTTTTTGCATATGTTTTTTATTGAAATCATTCAAGTTAGTGTACTGTTTTCTCAGGCTTAGGGAAATATACCTAGGAAGCATAAGAGCCATTAATTATTCTCACTCTTAAAATACATATACATTCTATATATATGTGTGTGTGTGTATGTGTGTATATATATGTCTATAAAACATAAAACATATATATGTATATATATGCATGTGTATATATGTATGTGTGTATATATGTATATATATATATATAAACTTCAGCTTTCTTTTTATAACTTTATTAGAGTCTCCCTCTGTCGCCCAGGCTGGTCTCAAACTCCTGGCCTCCAATGATCCTTCCACCTCAGCCCCGCAAAGTGCCAGAATTATCAACTTTCAATTGAAGAATATTTACAGAAAAGTACATGAAATATAAATGCACAATTCAAAAAGATATGTACAAGAACGTTTGCAGCAGCACTATTTGTAATAGCAGATGTCTGGAAACAACTCAAATGTCTGTCAGCCCAAGAATATATAATCAAAATTGTGATTTAACCATACAATCTAACACTACACAGTAATAAAAATAAATGAATTTTTGCTGCACACAGAAACAAAGTTGAACCAAAAAGCGAAGCTTGACATGAAACACTATTAGTTGTATATCATTTATGTAAATATATTTGTAATGGACTATTGTTTATATTGGTGCTAATTATATAAGTATATTTTGTGAAAACTTTTTGAATTGTGCACATATATATGTAAAAGTTTTATGTTTTATATACATACACCCCCCCCCCACACATATATATATAATATATGTATTTTAAGAGTGAGAATAATTACTGGCTCTTATGCTTCCTAGGTATATTTCCCTAAGCCTAAGAAATAGTACACTGACTTGAATGATTTCAATAAAAGACATATGCAAATGATTTCAATAAAAGATATTGGTTGGTATATACATATCTTTCTATTGGGTATATACATATCTTTCCTAGTATTCTGCTTAGTAAAAGAATACTAACACCATCAATATTAACTCATAATTTTATCATCTATAAAAGACTCAACTTTCTGACTCACTCTCTAACTTTTAAGTAACGTAAGGAACTATGGATTCTATCCATACATTTTAAAAATTCTAATTACATTTTTATCATTATAGTCATCTAATTGCTCTCTCAGCTTCCAAAATATATTTTTCTAGTGAAAATATATCCATCCATCTGACTGTTGGTTTTTGTTTGTTCATTTGTTCATGTATACATTGGCTTATGTTTTCCTTTGCTCATTATTTAAACTTTAAAGAACTATTTAAACATTGATTAAGTGGGAAGAACACAGTAGCCTATCACTTAACAATTGTAAAGTGTACAATTCATTATTGTGGACCAAAGTACAATGTTGTACACACCTTATTTATCTTGCTTAATTGAAACTTTAATGTGTGATCATTGATTAGTAACTTCTCATTTCCCAATCCTCCAGCTCCTGGTAACCACCATATTCCACTCTACAATTCTATGAGTTTGGCTCTTAGACACCTCATATATAACTCCTCCAGTAAAAAAGTAGTTTAGTTCTCCTCTGCACTCCCTCAGCATTTAAACTGCACTTCTACAAAATAGACTTCAGATTCTATCCCAATTAGATTATGACTTTCTTAACAACAGGTTATATTTCATTGATTTATTCATTCTATCATTTAACATTGATTGTGAATTTCATGAGGCAGAAACTTTTACTCTATTCATTTCATTACTCCAGTATGAATTACATACATTGTTAGCAGAGAGAACTCTTTCAAGAGTTTGGTACTATTAACTATTTTAAGATTTGCTTGTTTGTTTATACTACAATAGAACTACTATTAATTTTAGAAGCAGCATTTGGTTACCATGGCTATGCAAGAGATTGGATGTCATATATATACTGCTAAAACTTTTAAATACACTAAGCATTTAGAATTCTTCTGCATCAAAGTTTGTTAATGCTGAAGTAGAAGTAAGGAAGTTGGCCAACATAGATGGGATTGTGAGATAAATTAATGATGGTACAAAAATAGCCAGCAAAAAAGAGTACTGTAAGGAAAGAGAAATGATATGGATTAAAAACAAAATTATTCCCATGATTTCTATGGACTTTTGTGATTATAAGTATGTAGGAATCACAGGATTCACATATTCCCTGAAAAGGATTTCTGGAAATTAAGGAGACCCTTAGTTTGGGCCTTATAGATTGTGCCTAAATAGGACTTGACCTTTTTCATTTTTAAGAAGATATACAATTAGCATTTAAATTATTCATTTATTCAGTATATATTTGAATACATACCATATGCCTAGTCCTGGAAACCTACAAATTTTGATGTTATTTGCCTGGATAATACAGCCCCTGCCTGGTTTTGAATTGCACATATTTGTGTTTGTTAGAGGTGTTTCTTTAATTGAAAAAAATGTCTATTTTTCACCAAGGAACCCCATGTTTTGTGACATATTTTAGACCAGTCTTTAGGTGTCTTCTAATAGAGTTATTCTTACAGAAAATATTTTCCTTGTTGATGAAGGAAAAAAAAAAAAACTTCATGATACTTCAACTTTCTAAGTGAAATGGAAAAATTAAGTCCTGGGCAGGGCATTTTCAGAGTTAAGGAAAATTGCGTCCGGGCGCGGTGGCTCACGCCCATAATCCCAGCACTTTGGGAGGTCGAGGCAGGTAGATCACGAGGTCAAGAGATCGAGACCATCCTGGTCAACATGGTGAAACCCCGCCTCTACTAAAAATACAAAAAATTAGCTGGGCATGGTGGGGCGTGCCTGTAATCCCAGCTACTCGGGAGCCTGAGGCAGGAGAGTTGCCTGAACCCAGGAGGCAGAGGTTGCGGTGAGCCAAGATCGCGCCATTGCACTCCAGCCTGGGTAACAAAAGCGAAACTCCGTCTCAAACCAAAAAAAGGAAAATTGCATTTTATATGTAAGATTTTTAATGAATGAAAGTGGAAATGGAAAGTATAACTAGACGATTTAGAGTCAAAAAGTGTTCATTAGTCCTCAGGTTTTTGGTCTTTGTTCCGGTTTGTATACATGACTCAATATTCTCCAGCCACCAAATATTTGTTTAATCTTTCTTGAATTAAGTACTTTTTGAGCCTGTTTTTAACATGGCACTGAAAGACAGTGGGAAATTAATAATTTGATGTTTCAAAAAATATGTTGTCTTTTAGAGAAATGAGCAGATGTTTAATAGAGACTTTTGTGGATCAAGAACCAATGGCCGCTAATATGCACTACTACATCAGTGTTTTAATGCTAACAAAGACACAATGACCTAAAACCACATTTAGTATGTAAGATAGTTCATGTGTCACATGCTATACAGAGGCCAAACAACACATTAATAGGAAGAAAGCTGTTTATTAGATTATTTACTCACCCCAAATTCCCATGAATATTGCAAAGAACACTGTTGACTCATTATCAAACAAATGGGAGAACTGTAAAAATAACAATATCACAAAGATAATTTAGTACTAAATGTAATAAAAAGGAAGGAATTTCCAAGTATTTTCAACATATTATAATGCATACATACTTTCGAGGCTAAACACGTACTATTTAATCTCCAATAATCACACACTTGATCGCAGAGTGGGCACATGATCATCTGACCACCAATCTCAGGGTCACAGATTTCAGTGCTGTTAGAGGAATGGCTAAGTTATTGAAAAGTGATAAGTGTTTAGGTAAAAGTCCAATCTTTTCTTATTAGAACAACTATTTATATAACTTCTCACATATAACAGAAGGGGCAGTCATGCAGCAATTTCTATAGTGGGTCAAGTCATGCTTTGAGGAGTAGACTTCTCAGAACCTATCATTAAAAACAGACTGTCCATAAAGCACCAGGTGAGAGGCAGCTATTATGTTTGAGTCTTTTTTTTTTCCAAAATTGATATTTTCCAATATCAATTATCTAATGCTATAAGGAAACATTCTCAAGGCAATGCCAGGGAAATAATAACAATAGCTGAGTTTGGCACACAATAAAAATGTTTTCTCTATCTGGGCAATTCAGGTACACTTACCTGGATGTATTATGGTCCATCGATAATAAACCATAAATAAAACAAGCTAATCCAACTACAGCTGCAAAGAATAGCATTTCTGTGTAATATCCAAGAAAGACAAAATAGATACCAATTTTTTCTCCATAATAATTCCTGTAAAAAAGAGTAAAAACAGAATCAGAATATGAAAAAATGTTATAGTTCCAAGAGCCTGAATTTTGTATTCAGGCAAGCATATATTCTAATTTTGGCTCCATTGCTTTCTAGACATGTAATTTTAGTGAAGTTGCTTAACTCTTTAAACTTTAGTTTCCATATTATTATCATGTTTTAACAAAAGATAATGCTTATTCCACAGTGCAAGGACTGACTTAAAGATTAAAAGAGAACAGATGGAAGTAGAAAGCCATTAAGTAGAATTTGAAGAGCCTCTCTACTGCAAAGAGAATTTAAATGGTTTTTAAATAAACTACAGAATATTCTACAATATAATTTATAGGAATAAACTTAAATCAAAATCACATTCAAAATCTGCATGGACATTTGCTTTATCTCTCTTTCTAAAACTGAAAACGTTTACTGACCACATTGTAGGTATATATTTCCATCTTTCTCTAAGTTTGGATCTTGGATGTTTATAGGGTTGTGACATAGGTAGCAGACCAAGGAATTAAACACGATTACTGCAGAAAAATTCTATAAAATATGCAGCTCAGCTCTTGGTTTTCAGAGTTGAAAAGTGACAGCATTTATTGGCATAAACTTTTCAATCTCACAACCAAGTGTTTGGTTTTTAAGTGAGTACCCATTTAGGAATGAGAGAAAGTAGTTTTCTCCTCCTCTGAAAACCAGGTTTTCTTGTTGTTGTTGTTGTTTAACCTGATTAATCCTCCTTGTTATTCATATAGACTCTAGCTCACCAAATCTGTGAGTATTTCCACAGTTTCCTAGGCAAAAAGATGTGATACCTTTTGTGTTCTAATAGCATGCATCTGCTGTAGGAATGCATGCTATAGGAAGTGATTGTATGAAAGTACTTGATTCTATGAAAGTACTTAATATTAAATTGTAATGTCTATGCATGCTCAAGAACACAAATCTGAACATAAAGTTATAAACTTTTTTCCCAATGAGATTTTAACGTATATTTCCCATATTCAATATTAATTTTACTGAACCTCGCATTCTTCATATTTCAACACTCTTAAAACTAAGTGGGCATCTTTCTGCTTATACTGTCCTTTTCATTCTTTTGAGTGATCATAAACATTTTTGCATTGTTATTTTTCTCCAATTTAGTTTTCTGGATCATTATAAACTTGAAATTAAATTATAATGCTATAATATTCTCTTGTTAATCTGCCATTCACAACTTCCTTAGCTTACTCATACTTAGATGGAACTTCATTTCTCCCAGTTTTTTGCTGAAAAATGTAGAAATTATTGTAATAGTATATAACATTAAAATCAGAAAAAGTATAAACATATTATGCTTTATGAAATTTACTGTTCACTGTATCTATTGTATTTTATGTTTTAAAAACTGCAGAATCAATATTACTAGAAAGCATAATAGCAATATTACTACTATAGACTTAACTTAAAAATTCTTCAAGAATTCATAAGGAAACTGGATATTTCAACAACCTTAAAGTACTACATTTTTATCCTTTCCAATTTTCACAATTCTTATTCTTTGACCATTAAAAGAATTAAAAACTCTCAAGAACTCTAGACCTGTAATTATTATAAAAACTATTGTCAAAAGAAGGAAATTGCTGAGAATTTATTAAATGAAATCTGGCAAGTATTTATTACATGTGGAAATATACAAATTATTTTACTAAACTTTGGACTTGGGTTTCTAACAGTAACAGATTAACGACTAAAAAATCCTTTAGGATTTCAGAAAGGAAGAGACATTTCTTAGATTTGCAATATAGTGAAAATGTATACATTATTGAAATCACATTTAAGATTTAATTTAAACTATCTTATTAGTCATAACTAAGAAAATAGAAATCTAATAATATGAGACAGTATAAAAGCTCAAGTATAGGGAGAGCCTTCTTTCGAGTATTATTTTTTAGAAAAATATGCCATATATTTAAATCTATGGTCTTTTTTAACCCGCCCATTTTACTTACTAGACTTTCAACTAATCTGTGGCACTGCATCATCTAACATAGCATCTGATAGGTAGAAGGATTCAGTAATATTGGTTGTAAGGATACTGTGTGTGGGGACTGCTCTCATTTTGCATTTCTAAGATGTAACATTGAGTTAAAGACATAGTAAATATCAAAAGAATTATAGAATTGAAATGAATACAATCTTGAAAATCAATCACTAAATGCAAACATTTTTTTCTAAAGTGATTTATTTATTTATTTATTTGAGAAGGAGTTTCGCTCTTGTTACCCAGGCTGGAGTGCAATGGCTCGATCTTGGCTCACCACAACCTCCGCCTCCTGGGTTCAGGCAATTCTCCTGCCTCAGCCTCCTGAGTAGTTGGGATTACAGGCACGCGCCACTATGCCCAGTTAATTTTTGTACTTTTAGTAGAGACGGGGTTTCACCATGTTGACCAGGATGGTCTCGATCTCTTGATCTTGTGATCCACCCACCTCGGCCTCCCAAAGTGCTGGGATTACAGGCTTGAGCCACGGTGCCTGGCAAGTGATTTATTTTTATAACGAATGCATAGACATCTGAGAAACTTAGCTTCAGTATTATCCTCAAATTGTAATAACAACATTATATGTACCATACATCTATTTAGTCTATGCTAATTAGTATGTGGCAATATTTCTGTTTTATTTCTAAGCATTAAGACATACAACATAGGGATATCAAAAGAAAAATTACATGAAGCATAAGCTGGAAAGAAAAAAAAATGGGCTGATATAGCTGATGTGCCAGTGACCAGTCTTCAATTTTATATTATGCTCTATCAGCCCATCTTTTTCAATCTTGGCATTGCCATTTTCCCAAAAAAAATACTATCTAATGTGACAAAATGATATTTGCTCAACAGGTAGATAAACCACTTACAGATACCTGGACATGGAAGTGATGTTTGGTATAGAGATAACATGAAATATGTGAAATCTGGAAACTCGGATTCCTATAAACTAAATCTCTTTCTAGACACCCTACCATCCTGTCATCTTTATTTTTATCCTCCATATCCAATACTCCATTAGGTCCAATGAATTCTCTCATAAAAATATTTTTCTAATTCATAGTCTCCTCTCTCCTTCCTGTTATCAATATCTTGAGAATACCTCCAGTTTTATTGCTGTACAATTTTAGCAGCATCCTTACTTCCCAGAGTTCGATATTACATCAATCTAAATTATCTTTTGTTTCCAATAAAGTGATGTTTCTAAAGTAAAAATTAAGCAATATCCTTTTCTTCCTTCAAAGGTTCATCTTTTTACTCCAGCATTGTTCTTCAGGATTTTGTTCCTGGTAAACATTCAATTCCCCTTTGCTGACACTCCTACATGAAGAACTAAACACACAGTGCTCTGTACTTGTTCTTTTTGCCTGAGATATTCTTACCTAACTTCTTCACCTAATATCCTGCTACTTATCTTTCAAGACATAGTTCAAGAATGAGCACCGTGAAGCCTTTCCAGAGGCTGTCATGAAGATAGTTTTCCCTCTGTATTTTGGTGGGAATATTACATGTTACTGTGCTGTAACTAATATGTATTTGTGTGTGTTCCTGCAAATAAATTCATGTTGGGAAGCCACATTCTGATTAACTTTGTAGGCAACAGTACCTTACTTGATATGTAGTGATACTTAATAAAGTTTCATTAAAAGACATGTGTGAATTGTAATTATGCATCTGTGAATAAATTCTTTCTTTGATTTTTTTGATTTTTATTTTTTGAAACAGGCTCTTACTGTGTCATGCTAGGCTGCAGTGTAGTGGTGTGATCTTGGCTCATTGCAACCTCCACTTCCCAGGTTCAAGCAATTTTCCTGCCTCAGCATCCCAGGTAGCTGGGATTACAGGTGTGTGCGTCACCATGCTGGAGTAACTTTTCTATTTGTTTACTTTTAAGTAGAGACAGGGCTTCACCATGTTGGCCAGATTCTCTCAAATTCATGACCTAAAGTGATTCGTCCATCTCGGCCTTCCACACTGATGACACTATAGGCAAATTCTTTCTATTTTAAGAATATTTTAACTTTTATCAAGTCTACCCACAAAACCTCTACTAAAACCCATAAAATCAACAAGGAGAGGGGAAAAAACCCAAATCCAATACAGGCCTTCAGTATCATGACAGAGAACATCATGATCCTCAAATGACTTGTAAGTAAAGAAATAAACCCAATATCAACACCTACTGCTAGGAACCTAAGATATAAGAGAGAGGTGAAGAAGATGTTTAAGAAATTCTAGAGGAAAAAAAAATGTAGAGTATGATGGAAAACATAGAGAAACACAGGTAAAATAACCTCTAGAGAAAAGTTTAACTAAATGCCTTAATTCAGAATATATGTTGGAATTTAGTAATTTACAATCTATAAGAAAGGATCTGAAAAGAGCAAGACTGGACATGGCAGTCTGAGAGAAGCAATATTTCTTGAGAAGAATCAGATACAAAGAGAAGACTGGTACTCCTTAGAGGTGTGGCAGTAAACAGAAAAAAAATAATATAAGAGAGGAGGGTTGGATCTTGTAGAAATGAAAGAAACAGATTTTGCAGGGCAAGGGAAGATGGGTGCCTACAGCTCTGAGACTCACAGGAAGCTTCATGTCTAGCACATGCAGAAATGGATTCTCCCTCACTCCCATTTACCAGGTTGAGCATCCCTCATATGAAAATTTGAAATACAAAATTCTCCAAAATCTGAAACTTTTTGAGTGCCTATATGATGCCACTAAGAGAAAATGCCACCCCTGACCTCATGAAATGAGTCACCATCTAAACACAAGCAAAGTGATGAAAATGACACTTTTAACGCTGCAACAAATGTATCTATAGACAACACATTGAGAATGCATGATAGACTGACAAAAAGGGCACTCTAGTGCTAGAAACTCTGTTCATAAATTAAAAACAATATCCTTAAAAAAACGTGTAAAACAAAAACAAAATTGGAAGATGCGAAGTAAATAATTTAGGCTG